CAACGTTATCTTTTTCCATGATAAACCCTCGAATTCGTTTTAAAAATATCCCAAGACAATAATTTATATCTGTAAGTATTATAAGTTTCCAACACCAAAAATAAGTTTCCCTTATTGTTTAAAGTAGGAAATAAATAAATATGTGTAACGCATCATTGCTTGCATTTTTATTGTTTAACATTCCTCCCTGCTTAGATTGAGCTAGTCCCTAGCTCACTCCGGGTGTTAAGTGCAAGCAATGAGCGTATAGAAACATACCATAATGAATGAAACAACGGAATCACATGAAGGTGAACGTCGTACCCCCAACACCGATAGTTTTTTGTTTTGTTTTTGTTGAAGTAATTCTAAAATAAGGAAATACTATGAAAACAAGAAGACAAAAGAATACAACTGCGTGAGCAGCGGCAACAAGAAAAACAACCCAGCACCACTTAAAGGTACACGTACCATGTAACTTATGTTTTAGTAAACCCTTAAAGGAATAATCCATCAATGGAAGAAGGTAGGGAACAGTGAATGGTTCACTGCGGAAGAATTCTTCGAAACTCAGACCATCCCGGAGGTGGGGAGGGTATCGGGGGATTGAAATACAGATGATCAGAAATTGAAACACAATGGGGAGTAGAATCTGGTGGTATTCCAAAATATTCTAAAAACCAATCATCCGACGGCGGAGGGGCTGGGGGAGGAGGATAGCTGACAAAATCAAAACGAAAGGGATGAGGTCCCGGAGGAATGTCTTCGGAACTACTGTAGGGTGTTATGGAAAGGCGACAGTGAGGGCACTTGTCGCGTAATCTACCAGTGGCATATTGAAAGGAAGTCAGAAGACAATCCTCATGAATAAATTGTGAACAACAAGGTAGCCGCTTAGAGGGATGGTCGTTAGGAGAATTTATACAGACAAAACAACATCGTTGGAGAAAGCGCTCCAAACGAGCACGAGAGCGTTCTGGGCGAAATCTCGGGCGATTACGCCGGCTCCACCGTGTAAAAGAACAAGAGAAAAAAAAAAAAAATAAATAATAATAATAATAACTAAGAAGTCGAATAATGTACTGGTGTATATGTATATAGATATCCAACCAGCTTACTAAATCGGCCTTATTGTAACCGCGAGTAGTACGGTATCGCCCCTCCAGTGAATAAGGCAAACCCAGAGATAAACCGGTTGAATGCCTATGCGGTTGTAGCAGGTTTCCGGCCACTAACCCAACACTATTGGGTTATAGTGCATACGTACAGATAAATAAAAATTAGATTAAAAAATATATACATGTATTCGATGTACGAAAACAAAACATACATGCGAAGGAGCGACAAGAACAGTGAAATTGAAATATAATAAGAGGGCGACTGGAAACCACCATAACTTTTACTAAGAAATTCCACTTTCGCATAAACAGGTAAGTCTAAGGTTTTTTTTTTTGTTTGTTTATTTTTTTATTTTTTTTATTTTTTTGGGTATATCAATGAAATGGTTACGAAACAATTGATTTATGACAATCAGGACACGTTGGTTTGGATTTGTGGGACTCCGAAGCGGATGAGGAAGGCAAAATTGTTTCTAATTCCTGGTCAGGTTCGTCCGTTGTGAGTGATTCAGGATTGTTTAAGCTCCGATCACTAGTGCGCTTTCGCTTAGAGAAAGGAATCGGCCATTTCGGTAACTTCCGAAAGTTACCACAATAGAGTATGCAAAGAGCGATAGTATTAAGCAGAGTAAGGATAAGTGCGAAATATGTAAGCGAATCGTTTAAAGTAGTTGTCTGAACGGTATGAATTTGCGAAATATCTTTTCTTAATGAAGCTAGATGATTGGTGAGTTGACCGTCTAACAAACGATAAGTTTCGTCTAATGATTGTAATGTGGAGTTGTCAAATGTTAGCGGGGGTGAAATATTAAGTGATTTGTAGTGTAATTGTAAGATATCATTATTATCATCGTGTTTCCATGGAACATAATGGAATGAATCTGTAGTAAACATAGGCACGTGCATTGTTATGGATTTTGGGCACTGCCCGAGTCCTGTTTGTTGAGTATCAAAGGTTAGGTCACAAGGAAAATGATATACCATAAGTGGCGAGAGTGGAATGATGTGTGTAGAACCGTTAGTTATATTATAAACTGGCAATTTCCCTTGTTGAGCCGATAAGTAAAATCTGCCTCCTAAGTGAAATAGATCATGTAAATTAGTGCAATCTTTCGCTTTTTGATGTTTTCGAGCAAAGTCGAGCTTAGTGTTCTTATTCCAAGGTAGCCCTAGCCAATCAGTGTTGTTTAGCAATTGCAAAATGTGTTGTGGGCAAACAAAGGTAGTGCTTGTATAGAAACATTTATCCAATAATGATTTTTTTAATATAAATTCTGAATTTTGACATTGCAACAAAGCAAGCTCGTCACGAAGGACTGGCCCATGAAAACAAGTGCCAGAAATATTGTATTTGATTGGCATAAGATATTCAATAGTACAGAAATTATGGTCCGTGTGTAGTTCTGGTATTGTAAACAAAATATTGATTCCCATCGATTTTGACGGTTTATACAGGTAATCAACAAGTGGCTGCATTAAGAGTGGAAAACCCGCCTCTAGGGTATCAGCCGTAGTGTGTAATGAGGGAAATGATTTTAGCCGTAATTGTATTTCCGTAGCTAAAAATGAAGGCAAATCATCGAAACCAACAAGTTGCTTATTGTGTAAGTTATGAGTCTGATGTAATACATCATTAATCTCAATGAAACGTAACAGAGTAGAAAAGGTTCGTGTGACTTCCACGGAAAATTTGGATAAGAATTCTAGAAAATTATTTAGGTGGCAATTTTCCTGAACAGAGAATTGCTGTAATTTTGCCTGCCAATTATGAAAATTGGAGTCAACCTGTCGAAGTGAAGATTGAAGGTTATTTACTTTTGTGACCAGTTTGTCCGAAATTTTTGCTAAGTAAACTGTTTTGCCATTTACCGTTCGTATCAGATGTTGCATAACGTTCATAGAAGTGAAAGTTTCACCAAATGCTTGAATTACGCCAAACATATCATTAGATTCACAAGACCCACCAAATGAAGTGTACAGAAAACGGGGTATACCAAAAACACCAGCTGTACAAGCCCATGGTAAGGATCGTTTCCGGCGAGAATTATGCAACCATTTACGTTCCCGTGGGGTAATATTGTTACAATGTTGTAGAGCCCAGGATTTACAAAGCTGTAAGGATTTCTTGTAGGAATATGGACATGACATGGTTGATGCAAAACCAGTAGAATATTGAAAATAGCGGCGAAGGTATGAATCACATTCAATCAAGGAGGTATAACCATGTGCCGATAACAAGCGTTGCATAGACTTTTGGACCGTGCGAATCTGCGCCAACAACTCGCCTAGAAAATGCGATTCATTTTCATCACAGGTGTTGTTAACTGTGAAATCCTGACCTAAACTAGGTGTTCGCAAATCTACAAAAAGATTGAGCAACTTGGTATTTGCATAAAATACTATAGCTCGAGGGTTCCTGGAAATCATAAGAGATTCAGGATAGTATGTTATTCGTTTCCCATTTAGATCATAATCAATAGTTTCGTAATTTTGCTGTGCTCGTACCAGGAAAAAGGCAAAAATTAAAACCCAAAGAATAGATCTACTCATTGTTATTGTGGAACTGATCCAGAAGTCGTTTGTCTAGGATATTCTCTTCTGGTTCCCACGTACTTTGCGAGACTGGATAGTTTGCCCACTTGACAAGATATTGCAGTTTCCCCTGTCGTCGACGGGATTGGAGAATCTTTTCAGCAGCGTAAACGTCTGATTCTGTTAGTGGATCTGGAGAGGTAACAGTATCACTATTAGAGGACTCGCCACCGTCACGAGTTTCCTCTACATTCATATTAGGTGTGGCGTTAGAGTCATCAGGTTCAAAACTATCAGCTGGAAGATCTGATTCTTGGAGGGAAAGATCATTAGGATCGTCCTCTGGGGGTGGATGAATGGGTCTGTCAGCAGGGTCATAAAAGTGTTTCATACGGTTTGCATGTACGGTGGTAGCGACAAGTCTATTGTCACATGTACGCAGTTGATAATGAACAGGAGACAGTTGTCTACAAACGCGAAAAGGACCATGCCAACGGTGAAGCAGTTTCTTAGAGCGTCCCTTCTTAGTTTTGGGAGTGAATACCCATACCCGTTGACCCACTACAAATGGGGCGTCAGCCGCCTTCTTGTCATATTGGATCTTCATGACTTGTTGAGCTCGTGCAATATTACTACGGGCCAATGCCTGAGCAGTCTCAATTTGTGTTACTATACGTCGTCGGTGCTCTTCTACTGAAGTAGATAGTTCTATAGGTGGTAAAAGAGAGACATCGGGAGGCAACCTAGGCTCTCTGCCATAGAGGAGATAGAAGGGGCTATCTCCGGTAGAGACACAGGGTGAAACTCTGTAAGCAAAAAGAATAGACGGAATGTATAGATCCCAGTCTGTCTGCTCAGAGTTGACATACATGGAAATAGCTTCAGCAAGGGTGTTATTAAAACGTTCCGTAAGTCCGTCGCAGGCGGGGTGGTAAGCGCTTGTGTTGAGTTTCTTAGTATTGAGTATACGACAGACTTCCGTAACCAGTGATGACAAGAAATTAGCTCCACGGTCTGACAAAAGGGTGCGAGGGGCACCATGTCGTGTAAAAATTTCCTCAACCAGTATACGAGCAATTCGCGGTGCCTCGATAGAAGGTATAGGGAATGCTTCGACCCATTTCGTTAAGTACTCCGTAAAAACTAGTACATACCGGTTCCCAGATTTGGTCGCTGGAAATGGTCCAATGATATCACATGCTAAACGATCGAAAGCATCCTGTACTGGAATGGGTAGCAGTGGTGCCTTGTGTCGGTTGCGAGGAGTTTTTCGCATTGCACAATCACAGCAGCTCCTGCACCAATGTTGAATATCGCTAAACATGTTGCGCCAATAGTACCGACTGCGTAGCTTCTCGTACGTCTTAACAGTACCAAGGTGTGCTGCAGTTGGATCATCATGTCCCCAAGTGAGTATTTCATAACGTAAGGCTGCAGGTATGACCAACTGTTGATAAGTTGTTGTCCGACGTGGTCCCTTTGGGGTCCACAAATGAAATAGCAACCCATCTTCATTCAAAAAGTAATCATCGATGGTGAGCAAAAGTGATCTAGCAATGCTATTTTTGGTAGGCAGATGGGAACTTTCAAGGTATTGTATGAGATCGGCAAGATCTGGATCACGATGTTGGAGGTCACGCACTCGCTCAACCTGAACACCAGGAACATCGTATGCTGAAATCGATGGAGGTGAAATATTGTAAGTGCGGCGAGAAAGCGCATCAGCGTTTCCATGAGCAGCCCCTGGGCGGTGTTGAATTTCAAAATCATATTGTTGAACTAAAAGAGACCATCTAGCTAACTTACCTGAGGGATCAGAAATGGACATCAACCATTTGAGTGAATGGTGATCAGTATGCAAAATAAACTTTCGGCCATACAAATATGGTTCAAATTTCTTGATGCCGAAGATTACAGCTAATGCTTCTCGTTCGGTGGTACTGTAATTTCTTTCTGCTGTATTTAGATCCCTTCCTGCAAAGGCAATAGCAACTTCCCGGCCATTCTGCATTTGCCCTAAGGTTACACCAATGCCTTCATTAGAAGCATCAGTATATAGGTGGAAGGTCTCCTTAAAATCTGGAAAAGCTAAAATTGGAGCGGTAACAAGAGCGTTCTTTAAAGCTTTGAACGCCTGTTCGCAGTCATCTGTCCAAACAAATTTGTTATCCTTGCGTAATAACTGATTAAGAGGCGAAGCAAGTTTAGCAAAATCCTTAATAAAACGACGATAATAATTTGCTAATCCTAGGAAAGATCGGACCGTCTTGACATTATGTGGACGTGGAAAATCCCGTACAGCTGAGATTTTGTCGTCATCTGGCGCTATGCCTTCTGGAGATACTACGTGCCCTAAATACTTCACCTTTGGGCAAGCGAACTTACATTTGGATGGTTTAAGTTTAAGGTTAGCATGGCGGAGACGATCAAAAACCTGACGAAGATGACCTAAATGGTCCTCAAAGGTTTTGGAATAGACTAGAATGTCATCTAAATAAATCAAACAAATCTTGTAAGTTAAATTTCGTAATACACATTCCATTAATCGCTGGTACGTGGACGGGGCTCCGGTTAATCCGAAAGGAACCACTAAGAACTCGTAAAGGCCTCCATAAGTAATAAAAGCAGTATGTTCGCGAGATTCAGGCTCCATTTCCACCTGCCAATAGCCACTCATGAGATCCATACAGGAGAAAAACTTAGTTCCATTAAGGGCATCTAGAGCATCATCAATACGTGGAAGGGGATAAGAATCCTTCCGTGTCACTGAATTGAGTCTTCGAAAGTCAACTACGAAACGGTCGGTATCATCCTTTTTCTTGACTAATATGATAGGAGAGCTCCAAGGACTAACACTTGGCTGAATAATTCCTCTATTCAACATGTCTGTGACGTGTTCCTCAATGATTCCACGCTGAGTTTCAGAAACACGATAAGGACGTTGTCTGATAGGCTGGTGGTCACCAGTATCTATCCGATGTCGAACTAAACCTGTGCGGTCCAGCTCCTCCGGCGACAAGGCAAAAATATCGCGATATTCGGCAATTAGAGACTTCAGTTGTGCCTGCTGCGGCTCAGTCAGAGTGGTATCAGAAAGATCCAATGGAACTGTTTGCGATGGGGTGGAAGATTTTGTTGAAGAGGATTGCACATCCGGAGTCGTTATCGCAGACATGGAGCCATTAGATGGTGTGAACATACCCATAGTAGAGCAACGGTAAATTGTAACAGGTTTATTAGTCGGGTTGAGCACACGAACTGGGAAGGTATTATCTTCAGAGAGACTAACTAGCTGGGTGGCACCACAGATGTGATATCGTTCCGCAAGTTTAGTATTAGGTTCAACCAGTCCAGTGCTACCGGCTGGTAAGGGCATCTTGGGGTAGACTGGAATGACAGATTCTGATAAAGGTGGTAGTATAAATGTTGCTTTGGCATGGACAGTGAGTGATTCATTTGACTGGGGCACAGTAGTCGACGATCCCGAAGAATGATGTAAGGTTATTGGTGAATTACCAGAGAGAGTCAATGTATTGACTTGCATGTCAATGATTGACCCATAATGCATCAGAAAATCGCGACCAATAACAACGGGATAATTTAAATTAGTAATTATAAGAAACTCAAAAGAATAACACACAGTTTCAAATTCTAATACAAGGGTTACTTTTCCTTCAACAGGAAGCTCTTCCCCACTAACAGTACGAATGTTGGGAAAATGAGAAGATTGTACTGAAAGGCGTGGGGAGAGAGAAGCAAAGAAAGAACTACTTACTGCTGACACAGAAGCGCCTGTGTCGACCAACATTTGTGAGGTTTTATCCAAAATTGAACCAATAACATAAAGACTTTCAGGAGGAAACTTCAATGGTGAAGTCATAGCATTGACCATCGGTTCATCGCCGGATGGGGTATACCAAGTGGAAGGTGAAATGCTATTATTACCTGTAGGGGCCCAATGTTGACTCTGTTGATAGGTGTGGTCATCAGCTAGAACAGGTGGTGCATCCGTATCTTGGTCTAAGGTGTCAAAACCAGGGAGATCTGAAATGGCTGGTAAGGATACTGGTAAACACGATGTAAGTTCGGTTTCCAAAGAGCGCTCAGTAAAGGTGTTACCTCGAACTAGACAAGTGTTTTCAGTATCGAATGCCCGTTGGCTGGACACTAAACTTGGACACAATGTATGCGCAACTTGATCAGGGTTGGGCACATTTGAATCCTGGACCTGTTCGTGAGAACAAGTCGGGCTTTGGTTATAGTCATTATCACTATTATTTATAATGCATGCAAAATTTGGTGGTCGTTCATTGGTAGAAGGCAGCCAAAAACTCTCGAGCCGGCTATTTGAGAGTAGTTGTTGAGGGCGCGAACTATGAACTTCATCCTGAGTACTCACATCCACTGGGGTATCAAGCTCCTCAGTGGTGTTTATTCTCGAAGGAAAATTAGTATTGTCGTCAGCTGGTATACCTGAAAAATCTGTGTACACTGTAGAGTTTGAAATGTCGTCTGCTATGTGAGGAGAATTTATATTTCCGTCAGAACGAATTGGTTCTGGTATATAAGAAGAATTTGCTATGTCATCAGAACAACTTAGTTCCGGTAAATGGGGATAAATAATATTCTCGTCAGAACGAATTGGTTCTGGTAACTTATCCGCATCCTGTCTTCTATCGGGACAAGGTTCGCCCGGTACAACATCTGTAACGTCGTCAGAACAATTTAGTTCCGGTAAATGGGGAGAAATAATATTTTCGTCAGAACGAATTGGTTCTGGTAACTTGGCAAAATTTTGGCTTCTATCGGGACAAGATTCACCCGGTACAACATCTAATAATGCACTATATGTGTTTCTAGCCTTGGAACTATCAAGTTTTATACTGTTACAAGTT